GGCCTAGCTAATGGTTAAACAAATTTATAATATGTCATGCCAGGAATTTTATAAATATCTCAATAACGACGGTACACGTTTAGTTCCATTATTTAAATCTCAAATAATATATAATTAACATTATATTTAATTTCCCATATTTTTATATTTATACATTCGCACAAAATAAATATATTTTTTACATTGTAAATCAAAAATCGAGAGCATTACAATATCCTCAAACAAGGCATCAATGTCTATCGGTATTTTTAAAATATTTGAACATTTAAATATAGTTTTAGCAATGGCGCCATAAAATTTATTGTCAATTTTTAACTGAAGATTAACACATCTGCAGCATAATTTTGTGAATATTTGTTAAGATCTTCTAATTGCGACTGCACATTAACAGTATGTAGTAGAATTCCTACATGTGAAATCATTCCTAATATACCTCTGCCATTCATTACTGAAAAAAATTTTCAAAATGTTAGGACAGCTTTTATAATCTTTATTTAAGAAATATTTAAAGGTTTATAAAATTTTATAATTCTATCGATGGCGGGTATTAGGGACATATCACAACCAACATTGTGCTGACTCAATTATGTAAATACACTCTGGTTTTTTCCAAATTCACTGAGTTATTATCAGATCATAAAGTTGACATGTAATTTATTGATAATCCCGAATCTGCTATATTTATCATTATATGGTTAGCTATGTCTTTGGATTTTTCACTAATTGAGGGGAAAAAATTTAATGGTTTTCTTGAAACGTCCTTAATTTTGTTGAAATAGGGAAGGATCAAAAAAAATATTTTAATATTTCCCTTATTAGATGCATCTGTTAGAATTGCATATGTATGCCTATCTTTCAAATAGTCAAGAATTGACCTCCTGGATTAAGATACTAAAACATTGATGATATTCTTGCTCATTTTTGTTCTACAAGTAAAATTTTCATTTATCTTGGAATCGTTAAATATTATGGGGAAAGATTCTACCTAAATTGTAATGATTAGTAGCTCTGTGAATGTACAAGATAAGTAATTACAATTGCTGCAACCGTAGTTGCATCTGTATTATATCTTATTTTTGGAGAATATTTTTGTTTTGCAATGGATGTAGATACACTCTCCAAAATAATTATCATTGAAATGAGTACAATATTCCCTTATTATTTATTTAAACGTGATAATTTAGCGCCTATCCCTATAATTTTATACACACACATAAGGTAGATTTCCAAAGGCGGAATTTTCGCGGGACATTCGCATAAAATATATTTTTTTTACATTGTTAAATTAAAATCGCTTGTTTTTTTTTATAAAATTTTATCTTGTTTACATTCTTTTTTATAAATTAATATATTTTAATAAATCAAGATGTTATTTTATTTTGAAAAATAGTTACCGAATTTGTATTTACATAAACTAATTATAAAAGATAATAGGCGGGAAAAAAAATCAATTCAAAATCACGGCTCGGCCGGCTGACCTTTTTAAGCAAATTTTTTATTTCTACCGCAATTTTCATATTTCTCCCGCAATTTTTATATTTCTCCCGCAAAATACCAAATTTCTCCCGCTATTTGAAAATTTTGACCTGGCAACCCTGGAAGAGAACGTAAGGGGAGATAATCTTGAATTTTGGCGATGGTATGGATATGATTGTTTGTAACACATTGTTTAAGAAATAATCAGTGAAGCTGGTTCGGGTGCTTTAAGTGCGGTGGATTATTTATGTAAGGAGATATATAGGAGCATCATATTAAAAAATATGAAAGTGATAACGGGAAAGGAACGTATTGATCAGCACCGACTAGTTATAGGAAATCTCACTTTTAAAAGCGCCAGGATTGCTAAATGAAAGTTAGTGCCAATGGTAAAGGTTTGGAAATTGAAGGAGAAGAGTACTAGACGTCAATTCAATATGACATTGGCGAAAAGAGAGGCGGAGGTGGCACAAGCATCTGGGGCATATGACAAGCCCCCAAGCAAAGGCTCGTTCGTCCTCGGGTAGGGTTCACTCGTTCCCAAAAAAAAATTCCAGAAAAAATATTTTGAAAAAAGTAGTAGATATGTATTTTTGAAAATTAAACCTACCATAAAACTAATAGAGCTAAACAATGAGATATTTTTTGTTAAATGATAAAGTACTTTTAATTTTATTAAGGTTTGTTTTGTAGGGTTCTTATATAATTTCAGAGTTTTATGATTATTAATTTAACCAGAATTAAATTTAAGGGCCACGAAATATGATATAATATTAATAGACAAGGCAGTACATATATAATTGTATTTTAGGTTTTTTTTAAATATCATATATGATTGACCCCATAAATTTTAGTAATGATTGATTTATATCTGAGTTTAAACCAGGGATGAGAGTCCTTCGATAAAAATGTCCATTATTTGTATATGATTTAAAATAAATAGAAGTTTTGGATATTGGAAAAGTCGGTAAATTTTACAGGTTTAAGTTCATAAACGGCAATTATTTGAAGCAAAATGTTTTAAATCAGGATACTAAAAACCTTTACGACATAGATTGTACTTGTCCTTCACTTCCTTTTCAATCTCATATATTGTTTCTCATCTCAATCGATGCACTAGCTAAGTGCATTGATATTACAGAATCACAATATTTGCACAGCTAATATCCCCCCCTCCTCATATTTAAATTTTAATATTTTATTGTTAATGTGGACATCACTTGGTTGTTATTTTATATGGTTGGCGCGTTATCTTTTGCTTTGTCCTAAGTGAAATTCCAGATACACGGCAACTTTGCCTCAATATTTTGTTTTGTTATATCGGCTATTAGTCGACCCTATATGATGTGACCTAAATTGCATGCGAGTTAATTGTTTTTTAGTTTAACCACACGATAAAATCATTATTGTCTCTTCTGGCCACTAGAACCGTAATGAATAAGTATAGGTTCAGATAAAAATAAAGGTTCGGTTCATAGAAAATAATATAATTTCGCGAACGTCAAAAGCCGATTCTAACCTTTTCGCGTACAAAATTATTAGAATGTAGTTAAGTGAAGCACATTTTATAAATTTAAATCACTATTTTCCTAAAAAATAATGAACCATACATAGTTAAAACATTTTAAGATTCTCTTCTGTAAAATTATATCTATAAGAAAAAATAAATTGTGTGCTTGAGGACGCTTTTTTACGATTACTCAGGTAGCTAGCACAGTCAAATAAAAAGTTGCAAAAATATCAAAAAATTGTTACTGATATTTATCAATCAAAACTGATTATTAAATCTTTTAGGATATCAAAAAGTACAAGCTGGTTCACAAACCTTTTTAGAGGTTCGCTTCAAGCTAGAGGGGCCAAATTTTTAAATTTAGTTCAATTTAAGTTCTGATAACGGCTTAGATCCCTGCTTCTGCCTGTTGATCGGCTTGATGGAATTTGTGTCATTCACATATAAGAACTGTCTTATCTTGAAAATATATTTCTAAGTAGTATTTTGATTTCCAGTATTCTAGGCGTACATTTTATAAATTCTTTTTTTTTCGATAATATTAGTTAAAATCAAGGATTGTTTAAAGGGATAAATAAATGCTACCATTGTTATATATCGAATTTATCAATTAGGCTCCGAGAAGATAATATTTCGGTAACATGTTTCTAGTATTTTTGATAGATTAAAATGACGACCACGTATGTTTATTAAGCGATGAAATTATAAACACTGAATTTTAAATTATAAAATGACCCCCAATATATTTGTCGTTACAGGGCAAGGTTTGTAACTGGGCCAGTAGGGTTAGTATAGATATGGGCATATGTCTAAGGTGGAACACAAGCATCTGCAGGGATTTATTATGTTCATAACAATTAAGTCATTTGAAAATTTTGCCCATTTCTGGTATTTTAAATTTACAGTTTTAAATGTCATTATAATACAAAGAATGTACCCTCATGCTATATGTTTACACTGTGTATAGATATTGATATAAATAAAATCGTTGAACAGCATTCGAAATATAAAACTGTACAAACTTTATTAATATAAATAAATGTTTCACATTTCTTACTCGTATTTTTATTTGCTCCAAGGTGATATAAGTTTTATTTTAATTTCAAAAATTGATTTAAATTGTTCATTTATCAGTTACAGCACTAATTCATGTGCTAATATCAAATTGTTGTTAACACTTAATACGATTGATTGTTTTAAAATTCAGATATTATTAGTGATATGTTTCTTATATCTAGTTAAATTGATTGTTAGATTTTTTAATATTAACCAATTAAGTGGTTTTATTGAAGAAATAAATAATTTTAAGAAATAATGTTCCTGAAGATAAATCTCTATCAACTAGCGATAATATGGATAATCACAATATTGAATATAGAAGGAATCGCTGTCACTATTTGGCTCCTTTAGCTTGCGGAGAGGGAATTCAAGCAAATGATACTTGCGTGGGATGCTCAAAATCAGTTCAAAATGTGAAACATTAACTAAAATAAAAATAGTGGAAGGTGTCCACTGTGTTCCCATGATTTGTGGCCAGTGTAAAGGATTATACCACGATGACCATGTTCATAAAAAAACCAGATCGCCTTTCTATTAATTAAAGTTTTAAAGTATACAATCATATTTTTCAAGAAAAATTATAATTAAATAATAAAGCCTATTTATAATTAAGCACATTATTTTTCAAATAATATTAAGTATTTTCAATTTTATTAATTTTGAAGTTTGTTAAAAAGATCAAAACTAAATCCTAGCCGACGAATCAACCCATTAATAACAAGAAACGCATTTCGTCATTAAAATTAAAAATATCAATGTTAAAAACTGGCAAGATTAGGGTCTATAATCTGCCGTTGCATACAAAATATAATTTTATTAATATACTAGTTTTTATTTTGCTATATTATATCATTTCATTACAGATAATGGAATACTTTATATATATAGGAAATAAGAATTATGAATGCTAATAAGCATTATGCTAAAAAAGAAGGATTTGCAAGTAACAAGCAATGTTGGGATCTATGTTTTAGGTCTCCGTTTTTTAGAATAGTAGCTAGTTTAAGTGCCAATGAGCATTTCTTCTCAGATTCAAGAGGCATCGATTTGTTTAAGAAAATCATTCCTAGATTTCTGTACGGTATAAAATAAATTAATTTAGTGCCTTTTTTTTTATAGTGTTTGTTAAATAATATGCTATAGTGGTGGTGCTCAGATTTGTCAAAAAGCACGATTCAGGTCCATTTTTAAAAAACGGCCCGGTTAAGATTTTGGTCAACAATATGATGTAAGCCTAGAAATTTTATATGGTAGAAAGGTTTGGACTTCCATTTGCTGCATCTCGAGGCTTACAAATTATGTCGGCCAAAATCTTAATCAATTCGTTTTTTAAAATCGACACATACCGGGCTTTTTAACAAACCCGTTGAGGCTCTCTTTATGGGCAAGTTTTAACAAAAAAAAACTTTTACGGTCCGGTCAAGTCTAAATAGAATCGACTCTGGTAGAAAGGACAAAATATTTTCTGGATTCAAACTTAAAATAAAATCTCGTATCGAACTCGCACCTACGAGAAAGGTCTAGAATCGAATCAGCTGTTGCAATAATAATAATAATCCATAACCTTTTATATTTATGGATCGAATGATAAATTTATTAGGGAATTTGGCGCTAAACTTTAACCATAATTGCATTAAAGATTAGGAGCCGGTTTACAGCAACCGCGACGAAACTTAGAAGAGCTAGTAGTATCACTAAGCGATAACAGCTTATTTATAGGAGCATTTCGCCTCTTCACATCGCTAAAACTACCATAAATCCACCCCTTTATTTGCTTGGTTTTGCATTTATTTATGCGTAGTAATGGAAAGCGATATCGCGCAATTTTCGCGGTTACCATAAATGAGATCCAACAGTAAGTTAGCGAGAAATATTAATCAGCCCAATATCCAGGCCAGGAGAGGGTTGGATATCCTACAGAAACAATAATACAATTTATCATAATGATGGATTACATGTAAAAAGTAACAAGATGTTCGTCCATTTCTAAAATAAAAGCACTAAGTCGTTGTTTTTCATAAGATTTAATACATTGATTCAATCTCTCTGAGTAAATATGTCGGATATCTTTGATCCCGCTAATGGCATATTCAAGTTCATGCATGGCAACATCCATATTATTAATTTTTTCGTAAGCGTATGCTAAATCATTATGAAGGGTATATACCAACGGGTTAAAAACGTTTTTGTTATCTATATTGAAATAGTCCTGTAAAATTATAAGCATTGTAAAAAAAAAAAAAAATTAACTGTTTTATATAATAAATTATCGATTTTGTCATTGTGATAAGAAGAAAAGTCTATATGAGATTGTATGACACTGTTAGCGATTTCGATAGACTTCAAAAGATATTCGATAGCTTTCGTTGTATAATCAAAACTATTATAATGTTCTAAAATAAATTTCGAATAATGATGATAACACATTCCTAATAATTGGATGGTGTCGTGATTTAAAATCTAAAGTATACTCAAATAAGATATATACGTTATATATAAAAAAATTAAAACTTCGTCTTGGCTACTAGTGTTATTGCTTATTACAACCAGGCTTTCTTTGCTCAATATAGTTGTTAATTGCCCAATGCAAAATTTGTATCCAGTTTCAGCTTTGGTGTAATCCCCTAATTAAAATTTTAAATGTAAAAGGTATTGTAAAAAAATGGAATAAAAGTTGGGAAGATTGCAGGCCGACCAAAGTCAAGCCGGCATGTAAAATTTTATCTAAAAATAGGTGGATATTTAAAAAAATAAATATAAATTATATCTATTAATCAGTTGAAAAATCAGCGAATGGAAACGTTTAATGACAGGGATTCGCCGTAAAGGAATGTCGGATGATTTGAGATAAAAATAAAGGTTTAGGTTCGGTTCATAACAATATCGGTTCGGTCTAAACATTTTAAAACTCGTTATAACCGGGTTTAGGTTCGGTTCATAACAATATCGGTTCGGTCTAAACCTTTTAAAACTCGTTCTACCCGTTTTGTATATAAGATAATTAGAATTATGTATATATGCAGATTTTATTTCGATTTTATCATTAAAACCAGAGATGCGCCGTAACTTTCGATATTAACCTCAATCCGTGATCAATACTCGTAAATAATAATTTATTGGAATAAATTAATTTTTTTTTAAATTCATAAAAAAAAAGGATAGATGGTGATGTTAATTTATTTCCTATTATTTTTTATAAATTTCATAAATTTATTATAATTATGATAAATAGATTTTTTTTTTTAAATTTTATCATTGATGAATTGATTTGCCTTTCAAAATATATATTCTAGTTTCTGGTATCGTTGGTAACGGTAGACGCCATGGTAAAATTGGTTCGGTAACCTGCTAAAAAAGTGATATCGGTGCGTCTCTCTAACTTTTTTGTTTTAAAGAAAGAAAGAAAGAAAGAAAGAAAGAAAGAAAGAAAGAAAGAAAGAAAGAAAGAAAGAAAGAAAGAAAGAAAGAAAGAAAGAAAGAAAGAAAGAAAGAAAGAAAGAAAGAAAGAAAGAAAGAAAGAAAGAAAGAAAGAAAGAAAGAAAGAAAGAAAGAAAGAAAGAAAGAAAGAAAGAAAGAAAGAAAGAAAGAAAGAAAGAAAGAAAGAAAGAAAGAAAGACAGGTGTTCATAATCATTTTTAGAGGTCCCCGATAACAAATTCTTAATGGCAAGATCGAAAAATAATAACCGTTTATACCGGTTTAAAGGTTCAGTTTGGATCTCTCTTAAATATTCATTTATCGCTCACATTTCAATTTCCTTAAAAAAACTATAAAATTATTCGAAAATTTCCCTTGTCTATTAAAAATTGGTTAAGGAGATAGTTTGATGGGGGATGTTGTTGTTGTTTTTTTACAATCTGTGTAGAATACTTACCCCATAAATTCCAAACTACTTTATAGCTAATTTTTGAAATATTATAACCAAAAGCAAAACGGCAGCCATGTTTATTAAACAACAATATAAATATGCAATTTTTAGTTAGGCGATAGTTAAATGGGTATTGCTTTATTTTTTTCATCTTTATATAGTATTTATTATAACGCGTTTTATCGGAAATATACACCAGTATCTGTTGAAATTTTAAAGACAATTATAACGAGCTTTTGAAGAAATTTTAGTTTCTATCAATTTTTTCAATTATATTTATAATTAAGAATATGGAAGAGGTGGTGGTGATGGGCCACAAATTCACCAAAAATTAATTCGCGTATTTTTCTAAAATAACTCGTTTTGGTCCTGATGTGAAAGAACAGAGTTTGACGTGCATATTTTTTGAAAAAACTTAGTGTCCAAATCCAAGGAAGGAAACAAAGGTATGTATAAAAATCAGAGGCCTGCAGAGGAACCATTCGCACGGCTCAGCTGGAATTTTTTTAAAAAAATTCGGTCCGGCTTTAATATTTATAAGCCCGGTCGGTCGGTTCGAATTGTTTTCAAAAAAAAAAATTTAAGGCCTCGACCGGATTTTTTAAATACACATTTATTTTTAATCTTTAAAGTTAACGAACGCGCTTCAAGATATTTGGGTTTTATTTTTAAAAAATATTTTTAGACCCGGCCGGGTATATTTAAAAAAAATTAAAAAATGGCCCGGCTAGTATAACATTTGACATAAATTTTTTTTAGCTCGTTTATAACTAGGATCAAAAAAAATTTTAAAGGAAAGGAAGAAAATACAGTACCCAAGGTGCCTCATCTCGAATCATTAACTTTTACCCTTCCTATAATTATCAATGCCTAGAAACTTCTGGCTCTTAGAATATAATAATGATTGAAATGCCATATACGAGATTAGATCAAAAACTGTTAAAGATAATAAATAAGGACAATTAGATTGGTAAATAACTATTATATAGGGGGGGGGGGAAAGTTATGAAATATAATTAAATCAAAAAAATTACCTTTATAAAAGTAGATATCAGCCAATTTTAGAGATACATCTACGAAAGCATTAGTATCATGCGAGTTGTTTTCCATCATGGAAATTCTTTTCAAAACTTCCTAATACAATATAATCATTTATTAATGGATAAATCGATTTCCATTTTAAAAACTTTATTTTAATTCCAGTGCTGTAAGTTAACGCCGATGAAAGGAACGTCGTTACTTTCACCGAAGTTACCTTTTTTTTTGAATACTGGTAACGCAAAAAGTTACCCGTTATTTTAACACTTTAAAAAGATAAAATTGAAATTTTTAATCAAAAAATGATCGAGATAAAATAAAATCCTTTCTTAACAGTCATGGTTCCAAAAATTAATAATTTTTTAAGACAAAATTAATTCCCGTCTATTTGAAGTCATAAAAATATATAAGTTAACAAATCCAGGGGTTAAGTGACCACAGTGGCCCCTAAAATGGAAGAGGAATACGAAGCAACTGCTTCTTATTGAATGGGTACTTATTTTTATTTTTTTTAAATTTTAAGATTTCTTGTCTCATAAAATTAATTATCTTTTCAATTTCAAAATATGCCCAAAAATATTAACCAAAAAAATACAAATGCTTAATAATAAATAATAACATACGGTACAATATAATAGGAGATGATATGGACCGACCATATTAGAAAAGGAGTGGGCGAAATTTAAAGGTATAAAGGAAAGCTTTTAAATAGTGTTTGCATATTCGGAATGTGTCCTAAAATTGCGTATTCAAAAAAATGAAAAATAAAGAAGGGGAAATGTACAAATGGGATTATAATCCAAATTATGTTCTAATCTATTGCCGAATAATATAAATATTCTCATTTGAAAGAATGAAAAATATGGATATAAAAAAAAATCAAAAGAGTTGAATTTTAGAGGTGTTTTTCAAATATAGTTGATGTTTTCAAGTAAGAATCAAAACTTTGTTAGTAAGATATATTGAAAATGGTAACACGGCAGGTCTTGATGTTAAAAAAATATATAATATGCAAACTTTCCATGAATTTACCCTTGGGCAAAGCTCTGAGGGTGATTCAATGAGTGGAAAAATCATAGGAGTACAGGCTTTCATTAGAGCTGAGATTTCAACGGTAGTTTTAATTTGATGCTATTGTTATCGATTAAATCTATCATTGTTCAATTATGCAAATCGATAAAAGAACCAAGAAATATTTTATGAATTTTAGACGAGATTCACTTCACGTGTGTGTTTCAATGGTGTTAAAGGATATACTGTGCTCTAAACATGTCAAAGTGATGTACTGACAAAATTGCAACGATTTTTACATACCAAGAATACCATTAGGTAATATTATCCTATTTTAGATTTAAAATGTTTATTTTATATCTATAGAAGCTGGCTATCATCATGTTATTGTAATTTTTTTTCCTACTTCATAATATCTTGAGGGCAGGACAAATTTTCAGAATTCTGAAGATTCTTCCAGAAAACTTTAATTTTATCACTTTGTGTTTTGGATAAAATATTGTGAAATCGGATAGGATCGGTACCGATAATTAATATTTTCCGAAAACCGATCGGGCCGATACCTGTATAAAACCGGTCCGATATTTTTACTTTTCTTTTTTTTTGTTATTTTATTTTATGTTATGTATATATTTATTTTACATTATTATAATATTTTCTTAAAATAGATATATAAGTATTTTAAAAGTTTTTTTTTTTATAAAAATAGGAAGGAACACCCAAAGTTAGAATTTACTCTAAATCTTTTTAAATAACGCTAATTTTTTTATTTACACCTTAAATAAAAGAATTTTTTTAAATATAGTATCTGAATTATGGAAATATTGTACAAAAGACAAAGATAATTTTGCAAAATACGTTATCTGCGGAATCATCTGAGTCCGCCTTCAGTACGGCAGGGGATATCGTAGAAGCTTATTCCCAGAAAATCTAGAGGCTCTCATACTTAAAAAAAAAATCTAATATATTATAATTTTATTATATTTTTTTTATTATAATCTTAATTGTAGAAATAACAAAATTAAATTAAATTCATAATTCGATTCTTTGCATAAAAAAATATCGATTTCTTAATTACATTAGGTTCAAACGGGGGCGATTAAAAATCAGTAAAAATATCGGATCGGTACCGGATCGGTTTTGGAGAAATATCTAAAAATATCGGATCGAGTTTAAAGCAATATCGGAAAACATCGGATCGGATTGGTGAAAAATATGTGGATCGGCACAGCCCTAGTTGATAATTGGCTTGGCTTGTGCGAAATTGCAAACCATTTTGAAGATTACAGGGTTCAAATTCAATTGGCAAAAGATTGACTTTAATTTGTGAAGCATAATTTAAATTGTTGTCTTTTATTATTTTTTTAATCCTAATAGATAATAACACTGAATTTTAAGATGTTTTTTCATACGGCACAAGATTTTATGAAGGAGAATAATCTACTTTTTTATTTTGAAAGTTCTAGACTTCAACAAACATTTAAGATCCAAAAAGGAAAGGTATATATACTTTCATTAAATATAATATTTAAATTTAGCTATAAAACCAGTATAATGCTACACTTGATTTCATCATGATGCAGTTTAGTGAAAGATTCAATGATGAATCAATGAAATTTTTAAATCAAACATCATTTTTTACACCAAAGAAAATGGCGGAAAAGACATTCATTAAAGATATTGATGATATCTGTGAATTTTCAAAAGTTTTTAAAAAAATGTATAAGTTTTGAAATATTTATATTATGAATAGGGATATAATTATTACACATGCATAACCTGGAGGCTAAATAATTTAAATATTTGTCATATTTGGGAATTGTTATTTTATTTTATTAATATATATATATTAGCAGGTTGTTTTCTTCTGATAATGATGATTATGAGGCTTATGGTTTAGAGTCAAATTAAAATTTGTTAATTTTACCTCAAAGGGTTGTCAAATATTTAACCATTTTTTCAAGGGAGGGTGGGGGGTATTCTGCAGAAAGTATAGGTGCCACTGAATGGGTCACAAAGGAAATCCCACAATACAAATGAAACTCATCTTTGAAGAGTTCATTAATAGGACCTCTTAAAAATTTGTGGTGTGAAATGACTATGCCTTTATACATTTTAACGAATTGAGTATTATGTTAATAATATCCATTTTATTTTTTGCCTCAAGCATAAATCAAATTATATTATCTCTATTAATTCATATAAAATATTCAAGACATCAAAATATGACATTAATAGATTAAAAATTGTAATAAATGGTGACATCATGATTAAATTATTTACATATCTGCTGAAAAAAATTTCTTTAAAGAAAAACCAAAAGTGTAATATTTTATACAAAGGCTATAAAAAACAAACTAAAAATTGCACTAAATTTAAAGATTACTTAGTTTTATAATCAAATAAAAAGTTATGCACACAGAAATATTTTCTCAACTTAATTTATAAATTAAAATGAGAATTTAAACTAATGTTCTTATTCCAAACTAATCTTATAAATCAATTGCTCATTGACTAGCAACTTGATAATTGATAATCAAACATTATCCAGCCAACAAATATTTTATATTATTTTCACCTTTATTAAGATAAAATACTATATATGAAATTGAAAACAATTTATCATATTAATCACACTTAAATAAGGTATTTTATTTAAAAAAATAATCAAGAAAGTAATATTTAATATTGGTTTTATATTATTTTCACCTTTATTATCAGATAAAATATTATATATGAAATTGAAAACAATATATCATATTAATCACACTTAAATAAGGTAATTTAATTCTAAAAAAATAATCAAGAAAGTGGCATTTAATATTGGCTAGATAATGTTTGATAATCAATTGTCAAGTTGCTAGTCATCGAGCAATTGATTTATAAGATTAGTTTGGATAATTAGTTTGAATTCCCATTTTAATTTATAAATAAAGTTGAGAAAATATTTAAAATTTAACTATGTGCATATTCTATTTAAAAACCTTTTATTTGATTATAAAACTAAGCAATCTTTAAATTTAGCAGTATATATTTTGATTAAAGACTGACTTTTAATTCATTCAATTATTTTAAAACTGTGAAGCTAATAATTTAAAACTATGCATTTGGAAAAAATACTTAAATTTAAACACCTTAAAATAAATATATAACTAAAAGCATATATATTGGATTTTTCAGTAAAAATTAGAAATTAAATCAGGTAAAAATAACCATTCCTGATAAAAAATTCTTGTGAGCATAGAATTCCCAAAATTATACTAATGATAATAATATTTGATATCTTCTTTTACAATAATATTAAAAATTAATATAATATAATCTTGCTATCAATTTAAGATGGTAAAAACAAAATCTTATATTGTCATGTGCAGAAAATATACTTTGAATAATACTTCAGCCTTATTAAAATCCTTTGATTCAAATGAATTATTTGCAAGTATATCATATATATATGTTATAGTTTTCTCATCATTGTTATTTATAGCAATCTATTATTAAAAAATGACATAATTAATATTATATAATTTGCTTCAAGAGCCATATGTAATATGTCTTCTGCTTCATTATATTTCTTTAGCCTTTGTTTATATATACCTTTTTTAATCAAATCAATCATATCATTAGTTTTATTATTTTTATCATGTCTTAAAAACATAGCATTATATATAACTATGTTATTCAGAGTAAATTGAATCATTTTAAGATTTAATTTTTGCGGTTTATACTTTTGATATTTATGTATAAGATTGAGATATAGTTTAATAAAATTTGAAATATAAAATCGATTTAACATTATATAGACGAAAATAAAATAAACGTTATTTATTTGACTTTGACAACTAATATGTCAGGTTATATTAAATATTTTATGATCGAGATTTATCTTATAGTTTATGCATAATTCGTACTCTTTAATTCATAGAACCCTTTATGATCTCTATAGCTTTGTTTTACAAATATCATTCAAAATTATAAAAACGTTTAATAATTTATAAACCGCGAAAATAAGAATTTTTTATTTTACCTTTTTCCTTGGTTTTTATATCTTTTTAATTTGCGAAATAAATGTAAATTTGTTAATAATCTTCACCAAAAATAAAATATATATTTTTTACGATAATTCTGATTCACTAAAATCTCAATATTAATTTTTATAAAAATGACTTGACCATAAAAGAATAATATAAATTTTCTTAAAATGACTTGATAAAATAACAATATTAATTTTGATAAAAATGACTTGAGTAAATGACAATATTAAATTTAATAAAAATGAATTGCCAAATAACAAGAAAATACATATATATATAACAATAGAGATCTAAACATTTCTGCCACCTGCGAGAAAAAGTTTTGCCAAAATAATTCATCGGCTGTTTTTGTAATGTTCAAAATGAGCGGGTAAATACTTAAAGAATATTGAAGCTTTCAATATTAAATTATTACATTATAAAATGTTAACAAGTAATCAATCAAATTAAACAATAAGAATTTATTATGATGGAATATAGAGAAGTTGAATAATACACATTAGTTTCATTTATTTCGGATAAATCTGAATTCATAGGATATGCTATTGAATCTTTGAATATACATATAATTTCTTTATATAAAACAAAACCCATCTAAGCACTAATCTCTCATGAACTCATAGCCTATAAGCAAGGGCGTCGCTAGCCTTTACAATCTCAGGGGACTCAACTAAAAAAAATTTGAGGCCTTCGGCCCGCTTTTGCCTGGTCTTCGGCCGGGTTTTATATTAATATATTATACTTTTTTTAAATGTGTTAACTCTGAACAATTATTCTGAATTTTAATTTTCTCATTATTATATTATGCATACAAAATAAACTGGCATATAATTAAATTAAAACAATACAAGACATTTCTAAAAATAAAATTTTTTAATTCAAAATCTATTTATTACAATATAAAATATTTTCGATTGCTGATATAAAAAAAATTTACGTCCATAGAATTACAATTGATAAAAAAGATTAATAAATTCATACATATGCCTCAATTGATAATAGTTTTTAAAAACCACATAATGCTAATTTTTAGCAATTTACATTGACAAAAGGTTATCAAACTAATATAACTCTCTGTTACCATTTTACACATTTATAGAATGGACTAATAAAGAAAAATTTATAGGCCTAAACCAAATCAACAATTCTTGAAAAAGAGAGTATAAACGACCAATCCAAATCATAAAACTATTAAGTAGTTAAATCTTTTAGATGACATGATGGTAGCTAGAAAAGTAATCGAGAAATTATTGTGAGATATTAAATTTCTAAAAGATTATCTTTTATTTTAAATGATATATAATATATAAACCACTACACAGTTGACCATTATTGTTTATTTAAAATATGCAATCATATGCTCTCGCCGTTGTAGTAATAATCTTAAATTACATAGCAACACAAATAATAGATGCTGGTTAATATGCAGTAATAGCCATGACACTCACGATGTAAACTGGTATCAGAATTTATTATGTTAGATAAATTGATAAAATAAAAACTCTACTAATCTTTGGCGGAAATAATTGTGCAAATATATTGAAGCCTTGAGTTATTTACACGGCAAGGATGCCATATTAGAAATGAAAAATTTTGGAACTATAAAATAAGGATCAGAATGATATGATGAAACAATTAAGATTTTATATATTGTCGCACTACCTCTAGTTGGTATATTATATCTTAAAATAATAGTAGTTTGTAAAAAATATCAAAAATATACTTGTATTAAAAATTTAACTCAAAAATGTTTTATGAAAAAGAAAAAAATAGCTTTCCTAATTTAAAAAAGAAAAGAAAAGATCAAATTTATTACATCTATTGTATGTAAGATGAATAAAAAAATGTTTTATTTTAAAATTATTTATAACTAAGTAGATGGCGTTAATACTTAAATTGTTATTATATTTATCAGAGACCTGCAGGGCCGGGCCGTATTTTAAACTATTAAAAAATACCCGGGTCGGTTTTAAAAAATATAAGCATGAATTATTATATTCGTCAATTAGATATGGTTATAATGATTATATCAATGATATATATATGGATTATATATAGTTATAATTAATATAATGTTTGGTGAAAGTTAACACTCATAGTATCTATTACATAATAAAATTTTACTGCCATGGAATATTTACGCAAATGATTAAATACATTATTATATAATATATAATATATGTTATATTTTATATTAATTAAAATATCTTTTTTATTTTTTTTATAAATACATAGTGTATTCTCAAATAATTATTTACACAAATTTTTTATAGTATCAATTTGTTATATACTAAATATCTGTTTAGAATAAAAATAAATAAAATATTAGTGTTGTTAAACGGCTCGTTTTGAGCCGATTTTTAAAAACAGCTTAGTCAGTGTTTTATCCAGAAAAATATTATTCAAGCCTGAAAATTTTGCTCATAGAAGGAGCAAAGGTCAAGACATATAGTATCGAAATTTCGAGGCTTATTCAATATTTTTCATGCAAAATATTGAGTTAGCCGATTTTTAAAAACAGCTGACTCAGTGTTTTATCCTGAAAAATATTATGCAAGCCTGAAAATTTTGCTCACAGAAGGAGCAAAGGTCTAGACATATAGTATCGAAATTTCGAGTCTTAGTCAATATTTTTCTGGCGAGAATATTGAGTTAGCCGTTTTTGAAAATCGGATCAAATCGAGCCGTTTAACAACATTTGCTAATATACTTGCTTTTTAAATGATATTACTCGCCGAAAAATATGATAAAATACGAAATAATGAATTTTTTGAATATACCAGGTCGAATATAATTTTAAAAAATTCCGAGCCGGGCCTAAAAAAAAATTTTTTTAAATCCAGGCCGGGTCGGACCCCCAAATTTTTTTTTAAATATTCGGGCCGGGCTTAAAATTTTTAAACTCGGACCGGGTCGGGCCGTAAAAATTTTTGTAAAAAAATCCGAGCCGGGCAGGGCCGAAAATTTTTAAGGGCCTGGTCGGGCCGTACAAATTTTACCATTGTAGGTCTCTGACAGAGGCGTCGCTAGCCTTTAAAATCTCAGGGGACTCAACTAAAAAAAATATATGGGGGGATTCACCCCCCATACCTCCAATTTGGGGGCCTTCGGCCCGCTTTTGCCCGGTCTTCGGCCGGGTTTTATATCAATATATTATACTTTTTTTAAATTTACTAACTCTAAATAATTATTCAGAATGTCATTTATTATATTTTGCATGCAAAATAAACTAGCATATAAATCATTAAAATAATACAAGATATTTCTAAAAATAATATTTTTTAATACAAAATCTATTTATTACAATGTGAAATATTTTCGATTGTTGATATAAAAAAAAATTTTGCTCCCAAAAAATTATAAATGATAAAAAAGGTTAAATAATTCATATATATGCATTAATTGAATTTTTGAAAACAACATAATAATATAAAAATATTAGCAACTTAAATTGACAAAAGGTCATGAAACTAATATAACTCTCTATTACCATTTTAGACAATGTTTTATGGAATGGACTAATAAGAAAAAATTTATAGATTTTACTAAATCAACAATTCTTGAAGAAGAGAATATAAACGACCAACAAATCATACTATATGGTGGTTAGAGCTTCCTCTTAGATGACATGATGGAGCTAGATAAGTAATCGAAAAAATTATTGTATGATTAAATTTCTAAAAGATTATCTTCCATTTTTAATTATATATAAACGATTACACAGTTGACCATATTGTTTATCTAAAATATGCGAGCATATGCTCTTAGCAGCTGTATAATAATCTTAAATTACATAGCCACACAAATAATAAATGCTGGTTAATTTGCAGTCATAGCCATGACACTCACAATCAGGGTTGTCATGTCACCCCCCCCCCCAATCAACGGGAGACTCCCGCAATTTTTCAGTTTACACGCAGACATCTCTCCCGCAAAACTACCGCAAGTGGAAATCTCAACTACCGCAATTATTTTTAAAGTTTTTAACGTTTTTAATATATAAATAATAATTTTGAGAGACATTAATTGATTATTTTTATATTTTAAAAATGGATTTTAAATATTTATTTGAAAAACAAGTCTAGCTTGTAAATTTCTTTCTATCCTGTTTTATTTTTATACAATAATAAATCAACATCATTTCATTCATCAGTACAGGGGAGTATATCAACATCGATTGCAATACAAAAATATTCTCCAAAATAATAAATAATACAGATGCAACTACAGTTGCAGAAATCGTATACATCTATCATGTAGTTCAAAAATCACAGAGCCATATCATCACAATGTGGGTCGAATCTTTTTCCCATGATATTTAACGACTCCAATATAAGTGAAAGCCTTACTTGAGGTAGAACAAAAATGAGTAAGGCTATCACAATTGTTTTAGTACCTGAATCATGGAGGTCAATTCTAGACGATTTGAAATGGACAACCATATTCAATTCTGACAGATGCATCTAATAAGGGAAATATTAAAATACCCAATTCAACAAGATTAAGAACATTTCTATAAAACTGTTAATTTTTTTTCCTCAGATAATGAAAAATCCAAAGATGTAGCTAACCACATAATGTAAATATAGCTGATTCAGGGTTATCAATGAATTGCATGTCAGCTTTATGCGCTGATAATGCCTATTTTGGCAAAAGTTTATCTACCAAATTGAGGCAGCATGTGGATGTCGA